AACCCCCAATAGTGCGGGTATGCGCACTATTCGCGATATTACTAGGATAAAGGGTAGGACATAGGCCATAACGACGGTTATGAAGGTGCCACTGTAGTACATACAACCAACAAGGGGCTGAATAGGTATCAGTGCCGCCTCAGGAAAAGAAACCCGAGTTTGCTCAATGGTATTAGGAGAACACGTGGGTCGTGGTGCAAATTCAGCAGTGAAGCAGCGGTGTAAACAAAATCCTGTACAGCCGAGAGGATATTTGGTCCACGACATGTTGTAAATGTTAATGTTCGGTGTCCCATTGTTTTATAGTGCATCGACGGCTCCGTGGACGTTGAAAAACAATCACAAGGAACCACCGTATGATGAAAGCCACAGGAGATTATCCAACAAGCATTCCAAAGCGAACAAGTGAGTCCACGTGCATAAAGGAACACAACAAAAGCCGACACCCGCGGAGAAAAGACAGGGGAGAAGACGTTGATCAATGAGAGAACAGGCGCATACTCGCACAGGCGCAATAATCCCGACACACAGTAATTCATGCAACACATACGTGCAGCAAAATATCTCTCATTGATCTACGCGTCAAAATACGCCCGGACGTCAGTCTGACGAGATGGCTTAGATGCATGCGCTTCGATCATCAACATCCGCGCCCTCTTGAGCAAGAAGCTGGCCTCGTCCAAACCACACCCTGCCGCGTAGTTTTCTAGGGACGCGAAGTGTTGGGAAAGTTCCGTGTAAGGCGGTGGCTCCGCACGCCCGCCTCCGATGTTTCCGCCCTCGTCATCCTCCTCCTCTTCCTCCACCTCGCCGCATATGCCGTGCAGTCTGCCTCCGCATCCTCCTCGGCATTGGTGACCATCGGGGGCTTTAGGTGTGAGGGTGCTGAGATGGCAGAGTTCGCCTGCTGCACATGGCATCGTGCGCCTCTGCTGCTGCTGTTCTCGTGGCCAGTAGGGGTACAGTATACAGTATCCCGCTAGGGGTAGGTTTGTGTACGTTGTGCGGAACTTGTCGACGGGTTTGACCGCGCATTTAGGCCGTCATGACGTCAGACCCGCACTATAGAGGTTTCTGAGATCGACCAAAACCGCACTATACCGGGGTTCCTCTTATAGTGCGGCACCCGCACTATAGAGGGGTCTAAGTTGTGCCAAGCGATTTCACCCGCATTATACCGGGCACCCGCACTATATAACCCGCACTATAGAGGGACCTCGACTGTATGTGCATTCGGGGCTGACACGCTGGTTTCACATCACCGTGGGGGGTTATGATGCGTGAACCATACACTTTTTTTTTTTCCGATATTTTTTTTTGGGTCGTTTGTTTGTCACACCATCAGGTCTCCCATGTACACAAACAAGAATTGCTTAGTCTCATTTTTCTTGCTGGGGAAGTGGAATGTATGGAAGTGACATCTGTTGCTGGTCTGTGGCTGTTTGTTGGTGTTTTGTTGTTCTCTCCACAATAATAAATTGGAGCTTGATGCAGTACCTCTTCAGGGCTCCTCCTGGGCAAAGAAAACACTACATTTTCTGTGGTCACAAGCTGACCCAACAACAAGGTAAAATGAAAAAACAGAAAATCAGAGAGAAAATGGCGCATCGTTCACGAAAAGAGACAGAAAAACAACGTCCGGAGGTACAAAAGTTGTGCCTCCCAACCTCTTTCTCAGGTCTGCACAGCAAGAGACGGGACAACACCCATATCCCAAAACTTTCTGCAAGGTGACTTCCAAGCTCGCGCGTAGTCTCGCCTACTCGTAATTGTGGTGAACACGAAACGCGCACACGTGTCGCGGCCCCAGGCTACACATGAGCAGCCACATTTCCGACGGAGGAAGCTGAATCTAGCTAGGTTTGCTGGTTACGTGTGTGAACCTGCTGTGCTGGGGTGGTGGCGCTGCTGTGCTACTGCGGTCATGGCGGGGCATGCGCTTGCGGGTGGAGAGGAAACCGGCCTTCCATCGAGCGACTTCGCGAGGAGGGTAACTTCTACCGCGAGCATGCATCCAAGAGCAAGAAGATGCTATTTAGTTGTGCTGTACACAGGATTGATCGAACGCTGCCGTGTGGACAGCTGCACATACTCCGACCAGGCCATAGAACGTCCCGCAGCAGTAGTAGACCGACACAGCCATGCAATACCCACCCACGACAGACCCCCCCCCCCTCGGAGCTCACCGTGCAAACCTCCACGGAATCGAAGATGAGCGAGGCCGTCTCTGTTGTCCTCCAGAGACCGCTCCGTTGAGAGCATGAAGCACACCACGTTCACCACGATCAGCAGCACAATCACGGCCTCGAGCAGCATGCCCACCTTGGTGTTGGCTTCCAGGAGGTCGTACAGCCGCCGCCGGAAGGTTGGGGGGGGGGCTTCATCCCCCGCTGAAGCAAAGCACACATTCGCGGCAGGGGCGGGGGGGGGGGGGGGAGGTCGCACATGAAGTTTAGTCGCACATGAAGTTTATTGCGGGCGTGGGGCTTGACGAAAAAAAATCGGAGAATACTGCTCGAAGTGGTGCCAAGGGTGTTTGAGTTTGGAGGTTATCTAATTAAATCAAGGCTTGTGTTTGTGTGTCTTTATTATTAGCATCGACCGCGCCAACCGGCTGGCCAATGCAAGTACGTCAGTCTCAGTGGGGTTGAAAACACAAAAAACAATTCCAAATGCCATTAACTGGGACCCCTTGAGGGGACGGCATGGGGGAGGCTAAGCAATTCTCCGTGGGTGTTTGTTGCGTGTGTGTGTGTTTTTTTTTGTTCTTTTCTTGCTCTAGAGTCGCGTCTCCTGTAGTCCCACCTTTCAAAATAGGGTTGGGGTTAGGGTGTTGAGCGTCACGTGTGAGGCCCGCGGGGGGGGGTTAGACGAGGTCCATTAGGGCTTGAGGGGGAACGACCTGCCACGAACAGCAACGAGGCTGCGAAAGACAGATCTGTACTCCTATGCGATTTGGGGTTGGCGAGGGCAGGCAGATACAAAACTGCTGCATCCCGGCGGCTGAGGATATATCTATTGGCCGGCTATGTACCCTTGGCCAAAGCATGGTTGATCGGGTCGTCCATTGTGGGTAAGAGGGCACGACAGCGTGGAGATTTGGTGGGGGGGGGGGGGGGGGAGTGGGACTCCTGACGCCAGGCACGTGGCAGCTACAGCATTTCTTGAATTCTTGTACGCATTGCTCTATGCATACTATGCATAGCCTCGAAGATACTTCGCATCGAGCTTCAAGCAGAACAAGAAGACTCTGTGTTGGTGTGTACTTATAATGACCGCACGTTTTGCACGCAATCCGAACACTCAGGGTCCACCAGGATGCCACTGGTTTTGCTGTTGGTACTGCATGTACAGATGCTCGGAATAGCAGCGGTTGCAAGGGTCGATCGAGAACCGAATTAGCTTCTCCCGCTTGATATGTCTGGGCGCAGCAGTCCTGCTTCATTATCTGCCCCACCCGGTCAGTGTATCCAAAACGAAAACAATGCCGCCGGTGGGTGCCCCGTTGTGTTGCCGCAATCGCCACCAACGCGACCAGGATAAAAAAAAGAATGATGGACACACGGATTTGATGCTTTCCTCGCGAATCACTCTCATAATCCAAAACGGTTCTGGAGGCGGAGTAGCAGGTAACCCATCTTGGGAGGGCAGAGACAAGGAACGCTGATCCCGTGGTGCGCGTGGGTGTATGCACAGAACATTTAATGAATCGAAAAGGGCGTGTACTGCCTTCGGGGACTCTATTCGCTTATGCATTTGCTGCGCTACTTGCTGCTTTGGTTGAAAGCTATAGGAAATGATCCCCGGGTATGGATGCATAGACTGCGCCAAGAACAAGTGGCCATTGCCCAGCGCTCTCATGTCTGGTCAATCGACGTCGCGTCTACTCGTGTAGCCTGCCGGGAGACTCAAGGGCAAGAGCTGCATCGCACCTCACACGCATATTCGAATTCCAAAGCATCAACTGCTAAAGAATCATATTGGTACAATTGAAGCACGCGAGAGTGCTTCACCCTCTCATCAAGTGCACCAAAGCGTGCTCTCTGCGCACCTGTGGGGGAGAGCAAGCTCTCCCTCTCGGAGAACAGCGAGTACATGGCGGCCGCCCTTGTCGACAGACCAGGTGCACCCACACCCTCGTGCAACAGCAGTAGAGGCCCCAAGAGGCTCAATGAGAAGGTCAGGTTGGAGGTTCGCTTGGCAAGGGACAGCGAGGTTCCGCCGCCTTTCTTTTCTTTTTTTTTCCACGCCGCGTGTTCTTCCGCTCTCTCCGCTCTACTCCGCTCCCGTTCACGTTGACGGCACGCGTACGAAGACACTCGAGAGAAAGCGAAAACCTCTTGAGAGAGAGAGAAAGAGAGCGGAGAACAAGGTATGAGTGCGCCAAGCCAGGCCGTGCCTGCGCTTGCTTGTACATAGAGGGCTCAAAGTTGCCTTTGCCGCACAAGTCCTACAGGTTCAAGGCGTGACTGCGAGCACACATAAACACGAAAAGAGAGACGTACAAAAATATGTGTCCAGTTCGCGCAACATGGGCAACGCATCTCCTGCCGCGTTCGTTGCACGAGTTGGCGAAATCGCTCGGAACTCGACCACCGATAGGGGCTGCCATATCAACATGGTATGCGGAAGAGAGGGTTAGCTTAAAAATCACTTGTGTGCCGCTAGTGCAACGACGCCCTCCGGCCGTGGTCTGACCCATTGTCATTCATGCGGCGCAATCAACAGCAGCCCGACGCTTGTTACCTCCAACTGCGGCTCATCTCCACTCTAGCTCATCGATCTGAGATACAGACACAGCTGACGCAGAGTAAGCGATGCCTCACTGCTGTAGATCATGCACGTGTACTCACGTACTCACCCTTGTAGATGGTTCAGCGAATGCCATGTACCGATGTAGAAGTAGCTTTCTTTCCTGTATCAGTACGGCAGTCCAACCAAGCAGCTGGGCACACGGGCACTGACTGCGTTCGTCTCAAACCGCCTTGATCATACTAGCTAGGGGAGGGACTGGGATGCGCAAGACTTCGTATACTCGAGTTTCTTATATGCTTTGGAATTCTCCCACGTGTTAGCTAGCGACGGCTCTATGCGCTTCTCATGTGTTTGCCTGTTGCAAACCACGCTACAGGTAGCAACGGCGGCGTGGCGAGCTTTCACACATGTGTGGAATATGTAGAACGGTTCTGCCCGATTTGTGCATTGACGGGCACAAGGAGGCGACAGCAGGCAGACTGCAAAACCGTCTAACTCTGCTGTACCTTGCGAACAAACTCCTCCGCCTGCCGTACAATTCAGCGATCCATTCTTGACCCGCGGCAGACGTGCAAACATGGCATCCCTGGCGGCTATCGCCGAGAAACCGGGCGGCGGAGAGGGCGGACAGGGCGGAGAGCAGCAAACCAGACAACAACAACAACAACAACAACAACAACAACGGCGACGGCGGCGGTTGTGCGTGTGTACCAGAGTGCACCAGAACAATGCGGACCGTCCCGTGGACTTGGTCAAGGTGAGGACTATCAGTAGAAGCCGGAATGAAACCATTGGAGGACTAGTCAGCGCGGAATCATTATTAGACTAGTAGGCGCTGACACATATTCGAATGGTTTGATTTCGGCTGCTAAACAAGTTTGTCGTGGGGTTCGAGTGCCCCGACAGTGCTGTCTTGTCACTTCCCAGGAGGGCAGCTCCCCTCGCAGTGCTGTCGTCCATCCAATCGTTTACTTCGCTTCATCTCCCACTGTTCCAAGGTCTCAGACGAGTCATTACGTTACCCACACACGTGCCTCTGTCACAAGGCATGTACCTATAATGAATCTATAATACCAACCATGAGGGCGAGGAGTGCGTCAGTTGCGCGTCCCGTTTGTAGTTTTCGGTAGCTTTTTCCCGGCCCCGGCCCTCGCCCGAACCAAACACGCCCTCGAGGGCGGCTCGTCGAAATGCTGGGAGCACGCAGTACGCTTGTCACCGCCTCCCCGTCTTGGACCATCCCGTCTCCCTCACCACATACACACGTACGTGCACGAAGGTCTCTAGCCCAAACGCATCGTCAACAGTTCACGCCCCTGTCCATGCTCCCTTTCTCATGCACCCGCGCCTTTTTTCGGACCGCCTACGCAGGATTGTAAGAGTGTCTAGAGAGAGAATAGGAGGGGGCACGCAGACCTTATCCCTAACCCTAACCCTAACCCTAAAGCACGGATTGAATACTTTATCCCCATCTGTTTGCTTAATCAGTTTTGCTCCGTAGATTGCTGATTTTTTCTTTCTGACACGCCCAATTGCAACCAACACCCAGGTGCGGGAGTTCCTCAACACGGCCTTGCTCTACGCAGACAGCATCGCCATCGCCGTAGGACCGCCGCCTCCCCCGCCGCCGCCGTCAACGGATCAACACGGCACCACCACCACCAGCACCGCCGCTGCCGCCGGCTCCTCCCCACCGCTCTTGCAGTCCATAACTCTGGCCGCTAGGGAAGCAGAGAGAGAGGCGCCGCCCGACCGCGCCGTGGAGTCGGTCGGGGAGGGAGGGGGGGGCGAGGGGAGGGCGGCGGGCGTGGTGAACGTGTTCGAGGTGACGCCGTGGGGAAAGTTCACGCCGGCGCTGAACGCCCTGTTGGGGTTCGCCTCTCGCGACGGGGCTGAGCTTGTCATGTTCCAGGTGCGCTTGAATACCAACACCCTACCGTACCACTGCTCTCTTTTATTTTCCACTCTTTGGAAAAAGTATTGTGTATGGTTTAGGTAGTTTTGGATGAAAGCCCTACCCAACCATCTGCCGCTGTCTGTATTTTGTGTTCTCGTTTGAAAAATGTGGAGTATAGGTTGGGATTCCCTCCGCGCTATTGTGCGTTTTGAGCTAACGACGTGCTTTGCGGAGCAGCAAACGAAACCGCTGAGGTATGGTGTCTATCTTCTCTTTGGTTTGCGTCAACCAAGCAAGTACCGCCTTGTGAACACCAAACGAGACGAGCAAGGCTCGCCCCGACACCCCCCCCCGCCACCACCCCCAAGCTCGCCGATAGAAAAGACGCGAGAAATGAGCAAGCGGTCCTGCAGACGCAGCGGCTCAACCCCAGGAAGGAAAACATCGCATGTCTGTTATTTTTCATACCAGCATGTATTTCCACACCTCTTATACCTGACGCACCCTTTGTATTTTCGACTCCTAGTACGCGGGGGTGGCCTCGCTCCTCCCCCCATACCCCTTGACCTTGTTCGCCATGCAATTTGGTCGTGCCGTGTGTATACGTGTTTGTGCCTCGATCGGCGACCAGTCTCTGGAGACCACCGTGGGGAAGGACGCCGTATCGGGCATGGAGGCCTACATGGGGCCCGCAGATCTGGTCGTCGGCGCGGCCCTCACGGGACACGCCTTCCGGGGCGGGGAAACCGTGGAGCTGACGGGGGTCACGACGCCGTGGAACACACTGGCGCTCTGGGACGTGGCCAAGCTCGCCAAGCTAGGGTGCGCCGTCGGTTCATCGGTTGAGGATGGTCATTGTTTTTTCCGATTTGTGCGCGTGGGAGGTGCCCCCCGTTTGTGTGTCTTTGTTGGCCCCCTTGCCCGTTTCCTTTTTACCGGTACTGACTGTCTGTTTGCCTCAGTCTCTCGTTCTTTCACCCTACCGTCTTTATCTGTGTGCTTGCCTGCCTTCTCTCTCTCTCTCTCTCTCTCTCTCTCTCTCTCTCTTCCTCCCCTCCCTGCCTATCTCCATATCCCTCACCTATTTCTCTCTCTCTCTCTCTCTCTGCCTTCGTTTTTGTCGCTCTCCCATATTCCATGGTCCGCCACCCATCCCCCCCTGCAACCACGATTTCTTTCTGTCCCCTCTCAACAGGTTCTTGGGCGTCGCCGAAGGGCTTCTTCCCGGCGTTCCGGCGGGGGTAGAGGAGGTAACGGCCATCGCAGCGCTGCAGGTGTTGCTGGGGGCCGAGCACGCCCGCGCCAAGCTTGTGCGACTACCGCAGGCGAGTCTTCGTCGAGCACTCTTTGAGGGTGATTGATCATGGCGGATCATTAAGTGGAAGCAGTATTCTAGCGCCCCCCTTTTTCGTTATGGTGTGGTCTCCACGAAAACGTGAGTTTTTGGCGTGATGAAGCGTTCATGACCAAAAGTAACGCGTGCGTGAAACATCTGTATACCTCCTTTTGTATGGTTTCCTTTCGCTCTCTGTCTGCTTGAACGGTAGACATAGTTCGTGACGTTTGTTTCTGTCCCGAACACACGTGTGGGGGCGTACTAGAGGGTGTGGGGGGGGGGCGCCGTTCGATAGGGCACCTACATAGGCCAGAGACCGCAGAGTATCACCCAACCAGTTGCAGACAGTTTCGCTTTCGTTGTCAATACTCGGTGCTAGTTCTTTAGCGCGTGTGATTGTGGAAAGAAAAGCAGATGTCGTTAGGGCTGTGTGCCAGGTGGTGAGGTTGTTGGTGCGCTGGGAACAGAGCATGGTATATGGTCGGATGAGCTATGCCGCGTGATCCCAACAAACCCAACGGCTTTGTTGCTCGGTCAAAGAGGAGATACAGACACAGGGCCGCTTTGCTTACCAGGGGAACCGCGTCGTGTCGAAGGTGTATGGACACAACCCCCGAGGCCAATATAACCGCACAACGTCGCTTTGACGCCTTGCTCTGTAGCTAGGTTATCGATGTTCGACGACCACTGTTCACTATTGTTGACCTTCTTGATCCGATGTTCGGCCGCGCACGTTATTCCTTGGGTCTATGCTCCCAGGCTTAGGTTTTACGGACGCGTGGACATGACTCAAATGTTCCCGACACACGCCGTCCGATAACGACATCGTGAGCACACGCCGCAATCTGATACTGTGCGCACACATCTACAACGAACGTCTTGCGAGCAGGTGCGGTGGCATACGGCATGGGAGGACGAGGGCAGAAGGCGGTGGCACGAGTCGAAGATGTCCAGCAAGCGCGAGAGGGCCGACAAGCAGATGTCGGCGCTGGGCATCAAGAAGGGTACTGTGGAACATCTCGGGTGACGAGGGGGGACTGGAAAGAACGTGACGGTGCCTTTGTACCCGTGGGGCATGGCGAAACGATGGAAAGGAGAAGCCTGGTCGCTTGTGGGCGGACATGGCCGTCAAAGATGGCTTTCATGAGCAGACGCTCGAGCTCGGCGTTGCGCAGAGAGGACTATCGGTCCGCTGCAGCGCCTTGCACATAGATTTTTTGTGTTGCCGTTCAAGGGGTGTGCGACGGAAGGCACATCGTGAAGGAAGGAAATCGTCTGCACGCTCCAGAGGTGGTTAAATTCTTGGTGATGCCGTTGTTTCGCGATGGATTCCATCGAACTGACCAACCCATAAACAATGGGAGCTTGTTGATCCCACAGAAAACCATTTCGCCATCAGGTGCCACCGCCGTCTGGCAGCAGTGATGGTGCGGAATCATCCCGTCCCAGCCATGACAACGTGGTACTCAAGCCCGGGCTGAGTGTACTCCGTGGGACCTACAATAAAGTAGGGTTTGGCGTAGCGCCTTCAAGTAACCGTGATTCTCACGAGCGGACCACAGCAGTACTGCCGAACGACGATATTCTCGGTGAGTATAGTATGTGATTTGCGCTGAATTGCTGTCTTGCTTCGCGTTTCTGGCGCAGGCGAGCACTGAGCAACTGTGCCGCTGCCGCACCTCTGGCCTACTGCTGCCCTCCACAAAGCGGCGCTCATCAACCTCTTTGACACAAAGGACATAAACAAGAACTGAGATAGATCCGGATGGGCAACGAACAGAGCTAGATATCGCGATGAAACGACCAGTGCTAGATACAACACGGGGTGTCCCAGGCTGCGGCGAAACTACCTCGACGGATCCGCCGCGGTCTCGCATACGGCCACCTGAACTTCCTTGACACGCACAATCGCTGACACTTATCTCCAACGGTATTTAAAGTACGGCATGAAAACTGCAACCGTTTTTTACCGCTCGAAACCGAACCCGCGACCGGTTTGTAAAGCTCCTGCATGTGACCGGGGATTAGAGCGGTCCAACGCACAAGTTCGTCGGCCCTCCCATCTAGGCCGTTCGCCGAAATAGACGCTTAGGCCCGTATGCATACGACGATCTCTACGCAGCAACAGGTCATGCCTCGCCTCTACAGCGCAGGTTAGGGAGGCCGGCTGACTCTACCGGGCGACTACAGCCGCCGCGCCTCCAAGCCGTGGAAGCGCTTGGTCAAGAGCAGAGAAAAAAAGACGGCCGGCCGGCCGGCCGGGCTATCAGCTGTTGTTTTCGTCGTCGTTGCTCCCGGAACCGCCCGCCCCCGGAGCGCCTCCGCCCATCATGCCCGCCAGCGCCGACATATCCGGCGCCCCGCCCCCGCCTCCACCCATCATGCCCATGAGCCCCTGCATCATTGCCGGGTTCGACATCATGTTCTGCACCTGTGCCATCATGGCCGGGTTCTGCATCATTTGCTGCGCCTGTGCCATCATGTTGGGGTTGTTGAGCATGCCCGCGAGCCCACCGGCCGGGGCTCCCCCCTCTCCGCCGGCGCCGCCACCACCGCCAACCCCGGCCAAACCCTGAATCATCGACGCCAAGCCGCCCCCCGCCCCCCCCGCCCCTCCGGCCCCTCCCATCATCGACGCCAGGCCGGACAAGTCCGGCATGCCGCCCGCGCCCGGGGCGCCCCCGCCCGCCCCCCTTGTGGAGATCTCGTCCGCGTCCCCCCCCGCGCCAAGCTTGGCGGTCGCCCTCCTGAGGCTCTTGGTGTTTGCGGCGTTCCCCGGCTCGATTTCGAGGCTCTTCTTGTAGGCCTTGACAGCCGCTTCGTAGTCTTCCAACTGGTGTTGGTCGTCACCGTAAGAGCGTTTGCCAAGGGTGGCGCCAAGAGAGACATGGGCGACGAAAGGGGTGGGTGTTGGGGCCAAGGGTTGATGCGAACAGAGACACGGACCAGATGGTGGGTTTCCTATTGATTGAGGCTCATAGTTCGATTCTCTTCGCGGAAAAGTTTAAGCGAAATCCAAGTTCTATCGTATGATCGGACACCCCTAGCATGTTGATGTCATGGGTGAGCAGCAGCGGAAAGCCAGCAGCGTCCGCACAGGAAACAACGACAACCCCCCGCAAATCTCGGGAGTAGGGTTGATGGTTGATGCTTACCAAGAGACAACTGAATGGACGAGATTGCTGGAAGGCAACCAAGGGTGGGTGTTGATCGCAACGCGCCCCAAACGGCTCGAAAAAAAACGAAGAGCTTGCCAGAGCTACCGTAAGAGGCGGAGAGATGGCACCCCGTTGGAGCGACTTTCAAAGCTCGATTGCGATTGCTCCACAGCCAAGCTTGTGCCAACACCAAGAACTTTCGTTTTGGAAACATATCGTCGAGGGTTTCCGTAGACGTATCGGCTCTTTCCGTACCCCCTTGGTCATGCAGCAATCGAGCTTTGAAAGCCGTTCAAGGGGGCGTGCCATCTCTCCACCTCACACGGTAGGCGCACGAAGGTCAGGGCAGCAGCCTGGCCACCCCACACCGCGAAGCAAGGACAAGCGTCCACGACGCTCTTCCCGCGGCGGAAGGCGCTACAGAACACACGAGTCCAAGAACTGCCGTGTGAACGGGCACCACGCGGGACTTCAACATCGACACAGAAGACATGCCTAGACCCCGAGTGGCCACAGGTCAAAACGGTAACCACACCCAGCCACCTTCTCAAGTGAGCTAGTGCTGGTTTGCAATGCTCACAGTTCTCGAAGGCGTTGCGCCTCAAGGGTCTCCAACAATACGACAGAAAAAGCATTTCCCAAGAGGATATTCCCACAAACTCAGCCGCACACGCTACAACCTTTGAGGGACCGCACCTGGAACCTCCCATGGGAACGACACCAAAATATTCTACCAATGGGTCGAACTAACAAACTCAGCCGCTACCGATTACAACACCTTTTAGGCACCGCACCTGGAAGAAGGCGTAGCCGAGCCTGGTGTACGCCTTCGCGTATGACGGGTTGAGGTCGATGGCCTCCTGGCAGTCGACGACGGCGTCGTCGTTGCGGCCGAGGTAGCACAGCGCGGCCGCCCGGTTGCAAAGGTAGACGTGGCTGTTGGGCCCCGAGGGGGACAGCTCGAGCGCCTCGGTGTACTTCGCCTCGGCGCCCTCGTAGTCCTTGGCCAGCAAGAGCTTGTTCCCCTCCCCCTTGACCTCCTCCGCCTTCTTCTCGTCCGCGGCCTTCGCTCCAGTGGCCGGCGCAGCGGCCGCTCTACTCGTCGCGGCCGCCGCCGCCGCTGCCGCCGCCGGAGCAGCAGCAGCAGAGCGGGACGAGGCCCCCCCGGCCTCTTCGACGGGAGGCCCGCCGCTGGCCGCTTCCGTGCGCGCCTTGAACTTGGCCACGAGCTTCGCCATGCGCTCGTCGTAGCCCTCGCTGCCCTCCTCCACCCCCTTGAAGTATCCCTTGGCGGAGACGACCTTGACGAACTGGCTGAACGCTTCGGAGGACTGCAGCTCGGCGAGCTGCTGGCCGGCGCTCTTGGCTCCGAGGGCGGCGCAGCCCGCGCGGAAGATGGACTCCAAGGTGTGCGGCTTCAGGGACAGCTCGCGAACCTGTCAAGGGAACAGATGGCTTGTGTGAGATAGAGAACCCGTTTTTTTCTAAGTGGCGATAAGCTTACGATAGCCCGTCTTTTCTCGCTGTGGAGTTAAGCTTAAGGGCTTGAGGGGCTTGCCACGGTGACGGCGTCAGTCTGTGTGGCTTCCGAGACGGTTCGGCGGAGGCATTGTTCGACAGTGCAAGGCCGTGCAACATTCGTGCTTGATTGTTGGCGACAAGAGTGGGAGCACGGGCTTGTTGCACTAACGATGTGTCGATCCGATTTGGCTGCGTGACTGCTACATGTGCTTGGAACCAAAGGAGAACGAATGTACGTTACCACTTGAGTGCGATGATTATGATTTCAAAGGTCCCGACCTTCTAATCTCATAATTACTTGCCGCCTGTAGAAAGCCGCATCAATACGAGAGAAGGGGGCCTACTGACCTGCTTTGGGTCTTCCAGGTTTAGGCCGAACGCGGAAGAGAGGCTGGAGATAGCCGACGCCACGTGCGTTCGCGACTCCGACGGCAAGTCGCCCTCGGCGGAAGCAAGGTGCTCGAGCACCGATAGCATCATGGTCGGGGTGTCCACACTCATGATTTCTGCGGGGCGGGGCGGCAGGGTTTTGCGGGATGAGTCGCAAGTTAGGATCGGGAGCGGTGAGCATGGTTGGCGTTTAGATCCAAACATGAGCTTGGATGAAACGGTCGCGCGCGTTCTCGACAAGATTAGCTGCCATCGTTGAGTTCGTTGGTCACGTCGATGAAAAAAAAAAAAAACGAAGCGACTCATGTGCATACCACTGCATGTATAGGCAAAAGTTGTGTAGATGAATTTCAGGGAGAGAGATTCCCGGCGCAATCGGTATATACCCGAGACGCTCACAGGGAGGAGGAAAAACGGAACGAAACGCCTGTGGGAAGTTGAACTCGGGAATGAAGTGCAGAGCAGCGCTGGCGGTTTGTTGGAGAACGGTTTGGTCTGCGCGTTGGCGCTCAAGGCACCCCAGCACATCTTCAAGACATTCACTCGCAGTGTCGCCGCGCGCTTTTCCTCGTCCCACCTGCTCTGGGCGCCAGTTGACACATGTCGAAATATGTTTCGCGCGCAAGCCGGGGTCGCACAGTAGGAAGGTGCACAAAGCAACAAAGCGAATATATCCCAAACACCAAACACGCGCACTGCCTTCGGTGTGTTGCACGGACGCCGCCAGAAAGACTAGCAATGACAGCAGTACACTTCCTTCTTGGGTGGTGCGAAAATGTGAAGCGGGGCAAACTCACAGCAGATGCACCATTAGAGAGGAGTACGCGGTTGTGCAGCTGTCTAGATTCATCAGAACGCCACAAAACTACGGGAACATACGCATGGCCACCATTACACTTCCAGCTGCACGTGAACCTCCGCCGAAAGAAGGGCAGCTAGTCCGTGAGTCTACCCTATCCACTGAAGTTGAAAGTTGGGTCCAAAGTTATGCTGGGAAGAACTACTCGTGGGCAACAACAAGGAACGATCCATCAGCTGTCTCGAGGGTGCCGTTTTGTCGTGCAGGTGTTCCAGGAGCGAGAGAAGGGCAGTACAGCAGCAGCGGGGTAGGTAGACAGCAGCATCTGAGAACACACGATCACACCGCACATCTGTTCTTTGTTTCTAGAAAATGTTTCGTGGCAGAAAAGCAAGGGTGCAAGGTCGAACGGAAGTGAAAGCAGACAATCACACACAAGCCAAATGCCATATCCCTCACGAAAGGTCCACATTTCACCTTGTTAGGGGAAGCGGCGACCACCAGAGCGAAGAGAGAGGGACTGCAGGTGCTCTCTCCCCAGTCCCCAGAGGCAAGTTGGGGAGGCTCCGTGAATCAGGGTAGTAACCTACCCACCGCCTGGCCCCCCCATGGTCGATCACGGCCGTGCTACACAGTACACAGCGGTGCTGCTAATGCGAGTACACACACGCGAAACATGACCTCTGCTGCTGATTCTCATAGGGCGAGGCGGCCTCCCATGGCACTGGTGGCTACTGCTCTGTTGGTAGCACCTGGTGCCGCCTTTACAGCATCAACTTTGCCATTCCAGTATCGACAGCCGTCGTCTAGCAGAAGATTGCAGCAGCGAGCTTGGGAGCAGTCATCCCGGTGAGACCTCAGCAGCTCAGCCATCACGGCGAGGAAACAGATGTAGACAGGGGGCTGTCGTGGTGGATATGTAGTTCTCACACTTTCTGACAGCGGCGGCCTATGGCTGTGGCGCTGGCGTGGCTCCCAAGAACATGTACAGGTTGACTCATGCGGTCGTTGTTGACGTACGTTGTATACCACCCTCCCCGAGACGCGCGCGTTTTCGAAGCACGCTGCTGCGGCAGGTGTTGGGGGAACGTAGTATTTTCAGGGCTATACGTGGATATAGATGGGATGGTAAATTTGATGGTAATGGGATGGTAATGGGATGGTAGTGGTATGGTAGGAGAGTTTGGATCCCATCACGTTTACCATCCCATCGGGTTCAGAGTGCCATCCCATCTCATCTAGAATTTCCCACGTCGCTCCCATCCCATCCACACTCCCATCACAATGGCTTATCCTATCCCAGCCACTCCCATCACAAAAGCATATCCCATTCCAGCCACTCCCACCCCAACATGGCACCCATCCGCAATAAACTCGTCCTGAGTGACATGCGCGCCGGTATTCCCCCACAAGATCGAGAAGATGTTGCTGCTCCGTCTGAACAGGCATCTCATTCCCGGGTTCAAGGAGGTCCAAATGCGATGCCAGCGCTGATGCAGCAGTTAGTTGCAACCCCAGAATACTTCGGCGGGAGGGGTTGTCGTTGTGTAATTGCGTAGTTGTGTAGCATGCCAAGTGCATCTCTGTGTGCTAGTTGAGTAGCGGGGAAGACATCCAAGTAAGGTGTAAATGAGAAATAGCAGCCCGTAGTTTTTGCGTGTGTGTGTTCGTTTTTTTGGGCGCAGCATTTCGTATAAAGAGGGTGATATTTATCAGGCCTACATGACGTATGCGACGAGGAAATGAGGAGCCTTATTGGCGACGAGGTGAATGCTGTGCTTTGCTGTGTCCTCGCCATGATGAACAGGAGAGGCGGCAAACCCGACACACATCAAAACCATCAATAAACCATCACCATGACCAGCGAAAACTTGGTATGTTACCATCCCATCCCAGCAACAAGGATTGGCCAATACCATAGACCATACCATCAGCGTGAAGCACGATCCCTTTCCCATCACATGCAATTCCCATCCGAGAAATTGAGATCCCATTTCTTCAAAGCTGATGGTAAGCCCAAAAATATGTCCGCCTGCGGCGCGCTTTTCTTTCCATTCCTATCCCACGGGGCGAATGCGTCGCCACGTATAGCCCTGAGTATTTTGAGACCATAACCTACATGTATTCTTAGACATGATGCTGCTGCTGTTGTGGATGGCCTGTGACCGACCTATTCGTGAAGGAGGGAAACCTTACGTTGTTGTGGTCGATAAAGAAAAAAGTGGCATCGAAATTCGCAGCGTCGGGTTTACATGTTCATCGCCGCATGTCCCTGTGACGTTGACGAGTTGACGAGAGAGCACGAACGCCGGTGACCTCGCGCCAGCAACGTAAGAAAAGGTTTTATTTGTAGTTTTTCATGTGCCCGATCGCGAATTACCGACGCCCCCTCTCGTTGTGAGTGGCTTTCTTGCCCCGTGGGCAGCTCTATATCTGGTGCATCGAGAGGCTTGTTGAACTGCACTGGCCTTGCACGCTTGGCCTACATGATGCAAATCACAGCGGTCGCGGACGTTGGTGTGCTCGGTCCACTTGAGCCCAGGATCAGTGCAGATCAATCAGCCGACGAATGGTGAAATCTAAAGCGGGTAACAAACGGGTTGCAACAGTAGTGAAAGCTAGAATTCTACCGTGCCTCAGTGCCTTCATACCATCAAAGCCCGATTTCGGTTTTGTCGGGCGGGGGGGACATCTCCAATGCGAGAGCCACGCAAGCGGAACAGCGTACTTTGACGACGCCCTTAGAAACGCTGTGGCCGTACGAAGCAGGCCTAGGTCGGCCAGTGGCAGCGGTGAAACGAAGAGCATTTTCGGGACCGCCGCCGCACGCCATCCTCGCCGCTCTAGTGCCATTCGCTGACTCGCCCCCGACTGGTTCCTCCGCTTCTCGTTCGCTGGGCCCCTGTTCGTCTGTTTGCCGTTTGACTCTCTCGCCTTGGCAAGCCCTGTCTGTGGCGCTCCGGTGCTCGCAGCTAAAGGAAAAGGGGGCAAGGTGATCCAGCGCAGCATGAACATAGGGTCATGTACCTTGCTATGTCTAGTATTTTGTGCTATTTCGTAACCCTTGGAGTACCGCATGGACTGCTGTGCAGCCCGATTGTCGTCCGCAAGTGTCTTACCAAGTTTACAACGGCGAAGGAAAAGTTGCTCTCAGGCTCTCAGGACCAAGTCTGAAAGGATCTCGGAGACAGCAGTTTCTGCTGGAGTAATGTTCCTCACGCAAAATCGTCGCATGTCCAAATACCACTCGGCGCTGTCGGCGATGGTACTACACTACGGTAGTTTCTATTGAGGAGTAGGTCTTCCTCGCACGAAATCATCGCATGTGCAAATACCACTCGGACGGGAAGAGCGCGCGCTACGTACTCTTGCCCGTCCACTTTTTTCAGAGGTATCTAGAAAGTTTCTGACGATGATTTCTTGTTTGAAGGTTCGTTGTGCGCAAGAGCTAGAGTCATCGATCAAAAATTCGGTGTATCCGAAACTGTTGAGCTTGTCTAAGAGTATCGTCGAGATCGGAATGAAGTGTCTGTACCAAGAAAGTATTGTCAGAGACCTTCATGCAGTCGAATACCGTGGGTTGCGTAAGATACCACCCCCACCCCCACTGGACCGATCTTCAAAGCTCGATTACTCGACGACGGAGAGGCGGTACGGGTGGCACGCTGATTTACAGAAGGGCTTTCGCTTCACTGTGCCGAATACTGACCACTCTCTGGATAGATTTAGATAGCCTTCCCTGGGTTTTTTCGTTGAAGCAAACATGTTGGGACAAAGCATGCAATCGGCGAAGTTGGATTAGGGATAGGGTCTGCGTATCCCCCCCTCCCTCTTAATCTCCTCAACAACTTGATTTGTCGCGAAGGCGATCCTGAACACGGCACTCGTCTTGGGCCGCGGGACGGGAAGCATTCCGACGGGTGGCACGCTCTACCCATTCACCTGCCGGAATGCTTCCCGTCCCGCGGCCCAAGACGAGTGCCGTGTTCAGGATCGCCTTCGCGACAAATCAAGTTGTTGAGGAGATTAAGAGGGAGGGGGGGATACGCAGACCCTATCCCTAATCCAACTTCGCCGATTGCATGCTTTGTCCCAACATGTTTGCTTCAACGAAAAACCCAGGGAAGGCTATCTAAATCTATCCAGAGAGTGGTCAGTATTCGGCACAGTGAAGCGAAAATCAGCGTCGTAGTTCTGGTATCATCGCCTTACTGGCAGCGTGCAGTTTTAGCGCTATGGCACGGGGTCACCTCTGAGCGTGTGTGCCGTCATTGCCCTTTTCGTATTCTCTCTCACGTATCGATTTTTCTTGAGTGGTTGTCCGTAAGAGAAAGTGGGCGCCCCCGCTTGGCGAGCGCGCACTTGCGTTTTGCCACTCTCTTTCCAACACGCTGCCTTGCTCTTTTCCGCCTTGTTCACGGTAGGAGGGGGAAGCGGCAGCGCCTGCCATCGACATCGAGACGGTCTCGAGCGAGCTGCTGATGGTACAGCAGGAGGCAGAGAAGGAGATGAAGGCGGCCACAACTCTGCAGGTACAGAATGACGATTTAATTTAGTACTTTTTTATGCGTAGGAGCTGACCGTTTTTGTATTTTGGCCACAGGTTTCGAGGCATCCCCAAACGATAAATTTCCGTCTCGTCACCCTCTTCTTGTGTACACTTTGTTGTTGTTGTTGCTGCTGCTGCGGCTGATGTTGTTGATGCTTCCCCCTGCGGTTGTTGTTGTCACTACCAGGAGCTAGAAGACCTTCGACGCAAGTACATGACAAAGAAGGGACCAGTGCAGAAGGTCATGGGGCAAATGAGACTCCTCAGCCCGGAAGATAAGGTGCGTAGCGACCCGGTGGGAAATTACGAGACGGGGGGGCTCAGTGCCACCGTCTTTTTTTTATACCATGAGTGTGATTTTTTTATGCCGCCGAAATTGTTTTTCTCCTCGTCATCACAGATATGCCCTGTTTCATTTCACTACAGCGGTGTTTACGAGGCACGGCTGTACAACTTTCTTGTTCCGATGGCGTCCATAGTGGGATGAACGGCGTTACTCCGCGTCCCCATGTCGCCACCCTTTGTGGAAAGGAGGATGCGCCGCAAAAATAAAATACCGCCCACTACAGAATTTCCCACAGCAGTCGTTTCTCTCCGTGGGGTCTAGCGACCGACCAACGCTCTTGTGCTGGCAATGGTCTCCGTGAGATTCCCCCTTTCGTGATGGCGTGTCCATGCGTCCGTCCACGCACAGGCCTGCACAACCTTTCACGGTGCAGTGTGTTGCCCCTCCCCTCCCCGCGGCGGCGGCGTGGGGGGGCACCTGGTAGGTGACCGTTGGCTCTGCAGTACTCGACTCATCCGTCGACCTCAACGTTTTGTTGTTGTTGTTGTTGTTGTTGTTGGTGGTGGTGGTGGTGGTGGTGGTGGTGTTAGTGGCTTTGATTGCGATGATGGCGTGAGACAAGGGGCAGGTCGGCCTTCGTTCTGGAGGATTTTTTTTTTTCGAGCCGTCAGATGCTCACACCTCCTGCTGTGGCGACCGCATCGCGTTCAAGCCGCCGTTGCAGCCCGTCGCACGAAACAACTCCTCGGCGATCCGTCCACGTCTCAAGAGGCTTCATGGCCAGAGAAGGGTTGAACAATCCTCCCCTTCTGTCAACTACCAAAGTCGTTTTTTTTTTTGTGCTTGCCGCTTCCCATTCTTTTCTTGCTTTTGTTTTCCCCCTGAGGTTTGCGAGCCAGGACCAAGTCGAGGCTAGCTTTGTAGGAACATTGCCGTGTGCAACCGAGGCCAGCTGTGTAGGAACACGGGCGTATGAAACCTCCTCTCCCCCCCCCCCCCCACGTGTGTGTGTGTGTACTTCGTTTTCGGCCGACAAGAGGTGTGGAACTACTTGATGAGAAAGAAGTACACAACTTTTTTTAATATCCCCTCTCTGGGTGTCGGTGCTCTCTATCCCCTCCTCCTCTTTCGTACCGCCGTCGTTCCTCTTCCCGTACGCGCTCTTCCTGCGTTGACGCTGCTGCTGCTGCTGCTGCTGCTGCTGCTGCTACAGCCGAAGCTGGGTAAGGTTAGCAACGTAGTAAAGGCGTCCTTGGAGGAAACGCTCAAGTCTTCCAAGGACGCGCTCGAGAACGCTGCCGTCGAGGCGGAGATGGAGAAGGACAAGGTGGACGTCACGCTGCCCGGGTGAGCCCATCTTAGCTTTCCCACTCCACGACTCCTGTTGTTGTGAGCCCGCCTTAACTTTCCCACTCCACGAGACATGTTTTTTGTGAGCCCTTCTTAGCTTTTCCACTCCACGAGGCGTGTTTTTTGTGAGGCCATCTTAACTTTCCCACTCCACGAGGCGTGCTTTTTGTGAGGCCATCTTAACTTTCCCACTCCACGAGACGTGCTTTTTGTTATTGTTCCGGTAAGATGATTACTGCAGGTTGCACAAGATACCACCCCCCCTGGACCGATGTTCAAGTCTCGATTACTCCGCGACGAAGAGCACGCCGAGTTCAAATGATGCGTTTTCGGAAAGCTCTGGCGATTTCGAACCCTGAGTGTTTTTTCTTCCGCCTAGTTTTCTGGGGAACTTTCCTGCAGCCAGAGGACACTTGCACATACCCAACATATTCTGTAGCAGTCACGACAGGGCTGACGAGGCAAGAAACATTCTCTTTTCTACCCCCTAAAATGATTAAGACATGTTGCCAATAGCGTTGTCTGTTGCGGAGACTGGTACGACCGAGGAGGTCTGTGCGGGAAGCACAACAACGATATCTTGCTGCTAGGTATGTAAACGAATACCAAAAACTGGTTCATCCATAGCGACTCGACCGTTCGTGTGGGGGCCGGCTTTTTTTTTTTTTTTTTGCTCTCATCTCAGGATCCAAAGCGGGAGGCACGCCCCGCACGGGCACCGGCACCCGCTGTCCATCATGACGGAGCTGGCCACGGACGTTTTCATAGACATGGGGTACTCCCTTGTCGACGGCGTGGAGGATGCTCCCGAGATCGAGAACGACTACTACTGCTTCGAGGCGCTAAACTGCCCCAAGGACCACCCGGCGAGGGATATGCAGGTACAATCCCAGCAGCAGTCATTCAGTCGAGTCGTCCCCGCTCGTAAGGACACCAGCATGGGCGACGCTCCCCGAGTTCGGGACACTTTTGGAGGAAGCACGCCATGGGGTTCCAAAAAGACACCAGCATTAACGATAGTGCTGTCCCCGCGTTACGGACAACTTTTCTTGAAGGAGTCCTTGAAGACGCCAACATTTACGACATTTTTTTTATGAAGAACGCCACGAGTGTCCTTGAAGACACCAACATTAGCGACCCTCCCCAAGTTGAGAACACAGCAGTGAAGAACGCCATGAGTGTCCGTAAAGCGCGAAAGACTGTACCTGCTTTTGGCCTACACTTGTTCATCGCCCCTTTCTTGGAAACTTCTGAAGTCCTCATACACAAGGATTTTTTGTTTTGTCGTTATTGCTTTTTATGTGGGCCCGCTCAAGGTTTTATATCCCTCTCTCTGTTCTCTCCTCCAATTGTTTTCGAAACGCACGCCAAAAATCTCCTGGAACTCTATCTCCTCAGGAGCCATCAGCTCGAGGAAGACTCCCGGCCATGCCTTACAATTATGAATGTGAGAGCCTGGTCCGGTGAGAACCCGGCGTGCTCCGTCCCGGCTTTGTAGGGATGCGAGGTCAATGGTCTAACGACTACCGCATGCACGACTATGAGTACCCCCCCCCCCCCCCCCCCCCCCCCCCCCCCGACAACTTTTTCCAACAGAA